GGGGTTGCCTCGGCTGACGGTGGACGGACGGGGGGCACGGGCCGCCGTGGCTGTGGTCCCGTGGGGGAACAGTATTATTTTTACCTAAGGCCCCGAGGGCAGAAAGTGGCACGCGAACGGCCAGGGTCAGGAGCGAGGGAGAATGTGGGGTCATTTGCGTGAGCATGTGCGTTTGTGTATCTTTCGTCTGGGCCTACTCGCCTGCCCGGCCCCCCCCCCCCCTCGGGCCGGCCCCCGGTGTGCTGGTTCCTCGAGAGGGGAGAGCACAGGACGTTCGTAGGGAAGACTCACGACACAGATACACATCTCAGTATTTAAAAAGCCGATTTTCTTAGGAACCAAGCACACTTGGGCCAGGGAAACTGAGCCAGAAGGCGGTGGGCCGGGCGGGTGTCTGTCGCGAGGAGAGGACCAGCTCGGAGGCATGGTCGAGGGTTGCGCGTACGATGTGTGGTGGGTGTTTCCTACACACTTCACACGGGGCAGGGTTGTCCTAAACTGGCACGCGACGAGCCGGCGGCCCGCGGGCCCCCATTCGCTGAGTTATTCGGGCGCGCGTGGGCGCCGAACGCGGAGAACCCGGCGGGGCATCCGTCTTGTTCCTTGGTCTGGGCAACTGGGGCAGGATAGAGGGCAGGGGGGGGGGGGAAGGGGGAGGGCGGTCCCCGCAGCAAGTGTGGTTCCGCTTTGGGCTCCCACCCCACGGTCGGCCTCGGGTGTTGGAACACCCGCAGTCCGGTGTGTGACTTGGGCACCACCGATACAGTGCCCCGCTCTGGCAGGCCCGGGAAGTTCCCCGGATGTGGTGCACGGAATGGGGGGGACAGGGGGGGGGGGGGGCACAGGTCAGTCGAGGCAAGGCCCGGGCTCCAGCGGATTGGAGGATATTGCCTCGCGGCCCCCGGGCTCCGGTCCGTGCACCCGCCCGAGGAAGGAGGGGGCGGCGCGTGTCTCCCCGGCAGGCGGACGGGGGTTTCCGCCACCAGGGGCACTCCTGGGAGGGTCGATATTAGGGTATTCCCCGCGGCCGGGGGGCACGCCGCGGCCACGAGAGGCGGGGCTCCGAGGGCTGACGCTCGTGCGGGCCGGTCGGACCGGCGGGCAGGGGCTGGCGCCCCACCGCCGCCCGCGCTCTCTCGTCCACGCCCGTGTTGTTCGGTCCGTGTTCACCCCTATAATCCCTCAGTCTTCTTTTGCTGATCTGCCCCCAGGTCTCTCCCTCTCTCTCTCTCTCTCTCTCTCGCGCACCCTGCACCTTGCTTCCTGGGGGGTGGGGCTGGGGCCCGGACGCAATATATCCGTCCCTGCGTCTGAATTCCCGGCTCCCGGTCCGGGTCCTGTTGGGGGACTGGCCTAGGTTGTGGTGGGATGTACCGTTGATTGTGCCGCGTTGCTCTCCGCCGTCCTCCTCCATCCGCGAGTAGGCGGGCCCGGCGAGAGGGGCACATGTGTTCCGCTCGGCTTTGGCCCCCCCACTCTACCCAGGCATCCGGGGGGGGGAGGCCGGCCTCGCGTCTTCGCTCCCCC